TATTTATTTTCCATTTTGGATCTTTATTACCAGTATTTTTTTTATTACTAGTATTTTATGATAGATAATATCTGTTCAATATATAATTAATGCTCAATTATATATAGCAACTAATTTCCCTTTTCCAACTCTTCTCTCCTTTTTTGTACATAATAAAATTCATATGGCATGTTTTATATTGAATAAGATGCTTAATGTTTCCTTTATTGAGAATTGGTTATAAATTCCTTGTTTTAATAAAAATTACTGAAAATGTCATAATTTTATTTCTTATTATATTTATAAATTAGAAAGACATATTTACTTGTAACTGAACTGCAATTTAACCATCTGTTGTTTGACACTTGTCCCTGTTAATTGTCATCAAGTTAATTCCAACTTAAGGTGACCTCCTGTGTTCTCTGTAGAGTTGTCAATGCGCTGGTCTTCCAGAAATTGGTTCCCGGGTCTGTCTTCATAGGAAAGTATGAGTAGATTGAAACTACTAACCTTATGTCTAATTAGATTAATGAGTAAGTCCATGCAATTCCTGGAAACTCTTCTTTGGACATGGGGTCCTGCCATTTTCATGTGTACTCACAGATATTTACACACAACTCTAACATACAGTGTAAATTTTAATGATTCCAAATATTTTAGTAAATTTATAAGAGATTTTGTTAAGTATAAATAATAGAAGAACCAACCCATATTAGTGCATATATCAAAATAAAAGATATATAATAGTATTTTATGGAATACTCCAAAATGGACTACCAATAGGAATAGTAAACATAATAATTTCAACTTATTCAAAAAATTGTATTGCGGTAGGGTCTAGAACTGATTAACCGCAAGAAATGAGGGTTCACTGTATTTCCCTTTGTTTGGTTACATTTTCTTCAATTTATTTTATAATATTATACATTGAACGTGCAGAAATACAGGTATTTCATAGCTTCAAAATTTTCAATGCCATCCTTACTTTAAAGTTTAGATTCATAATTTTGGGGACTGAAAATAGAAATATAGTATAAACGCAGACCTTGAAACTAATCAGATCTAGAATGAGTGTCGAGATGCAATGCAGTCGAGTTCAGAATAAATATTTCCCATGAGAAATAACAGAAAATGAATTAATCTGTTCTCAACCACCCAGTTTTTACCCTACCCTTGCCTTTTCATATAAAACATTACAACAGAATTTCAAAGTAAAAAATATAATTTAAATAAGAAACACTATATTTTAAAAGTTTTTTAACAACTACAGCATGACCTATACCTTGAGAATGATGAGGATCTGGGTCTGTGGACACGGATGTGGAGAGGAGGGATGGAGAGAGAGTCATTGTTTGGAAGGGGAAACTCCTTTCATCAAATCAACTGTTACCTGCTTTTCAGTTTTTGGATTCTTTGCCTTTTTTCACTAGGACATGGCTTACTTTCTCTAAAAAAAAATAAAAGCACCTGTGAAATGTGGTCTGCTGTTGGCATTTCCTTAACTGCTTTCTAAAAGGGTTTATTAAATTATCATCAACAATATTGATAACAGAATGAACCAGTTCCTTATCAATGATTCTTTTTAGAAACTCTTTCTTAGAAGCCATGTTTTTTTTATCTAAAAACGGTACAAAAAGCCAGAGACACTAAGAAAATTTTAGCAAATGCTTGGAACACAGCCACAAAAGGTTTACACCATGTGTACTTACAATGCCAACTAACTGCCGAGTGATGGAAACATAAACTGCTCTTCTTCACAAAAATAACATGTTGAGTCAGATTCCAATGTTTTGTTCAAGCTCTGATACAAAATGTTCTTGATATTTCACATGGAAATCTGATTATGTCTAGTACCGATGTCGAGAACCAGAGTGCTACTGTACAATTGACATTTGTATATTTAATTTACAATATGACTTTGCTCACATCACATATTATTTTTATTATTTGTTTATAGATTATATTAGCTTCTATATGTAAGCAGCTATTTCTAACTATAAATAATTGCAATTTATTTTTCTGATTTAAGTGACTTTATTGAATGATTTTTCGGTTATTATTTTGTTTTGAATATTGAGGAAAGGATGAAATAAAGTTTCCAGCTATGTAATGAATTATTGTAGAGGAAAAAATTTTAATTTTCACCTTAAATGTAAGTTATATTTTTCACCAAAACTTTCTCAGGTCAAAGCATTCTTTGCACTTTCACTTTTCTAAAAATTAAAAAATAATTCGATGTTGCATTTCTGTCATATCTTCTTGCATTGGAAAATATTACTATACAGATATTTTGTGTAATGGATATGAAGAGTATATTGTATAATATTTTGGGGGAACTCTCCTTCCTTAAATTGAAAATTGAATTCTGTGTGTAGTGTCTGAGTGCTTCCATAGACAACAATAATGGGCTCAGCATGATAACAACAGTGAGAGTGGCGCAGGAAAATATAAGGTCGCATTTTGTGTCAGGACAAATTTCAATGGCACCTAACAACAAGACTGATAACGTCTGTTTGATCTCAGGTTCCAGGATTCAAAGTAGTGAGAGTGTTTACAATGCTCTTGATAATGGTTCACATCATTAATTTTCTAGATCCAACCTTTTACAGATATTCTATACACATACATTACCTATTACAATTGTTAGTTATATACATATATTAAAATCATATTATTAGTGGTTTGGATAGTCTAACATTGTGAAACATGGCTTTTTATGCCCAGTAACACTTCTAACCTTATAACATGACAATCTTTGAACTATAGAATTTTTCCTCTACTTTGTATTTCATGGGAGTTTTAAAATCATTTAGCTTTCATCTTTCATTTATGCACATAAAGCTGTTTCTCTTTCCTTTATGCATGTAAAGCTGTTTCTCATTAAAGTAGCTAATGCTTATTTTCAATACAAACACTCTCAATGTTTGAACTGAAAAACTTTTATTAACATTTAATCTGATTATCATTGAATTTGATTTGATCTCTATCACTTGCTATTTTCTTTCACTTGCATTATAAACATGCATCATTTTTTGTTTTATTATATTTTAGAAATGAATACTTTTATTGGTCTTTTTCTATAAAAATATTATTGGTTCAATGTGTCTTAATTATTCTTATAGTGGTGCTCTACATTTTATAACTCACACGTTTTACCTCTTAAATCCGAAGACATTAGTATTTTCACATCTTCTCAAACAATGAAAATATTTTCTATATTTATTTAGGACTTTTTATGCTACATCTTCTCCCTGTACTCTAATATGAATATTTATTTTCCATTTTGGATCTTTATTACCAGTATTTTTTTTATTACTAGTATTTTATGATAGATAATATCTGTTCAATATATAATTAATGCTCAATTATATATAGCAACTAATTTCCCTTTTCCAACTCTTCTCTCCTTTTTTGTACATAATAAAATTCATATGGCATGTTTTATATTGAATAAGATGCTTAATGTTTCCTTTATTGAGAATTGGTTATAAATTCCTTGTTTTAATAAAAATTACTGAAAATGTCATAATTTTATTTCTTATTATATTTATAAATTAGAAAGACATATTTACTTGTAACTGAACTGCAATTTAACCATCTGTTGTTTGACACTTGTCCCTGTTAATTGTCATCAAGTTAATTCCAACTTAAGGTGACCTCCTGTGTTCTCTGTAGAGTTGTCAATGCGCTGGTCTTCCAGAAATTGGTTCCCGGGTCTGTCTTCATAGGAAAGTATGAGTAGATTGAAACTACTAACCTTATGTCTAATTAGATTAATGAGTAAGTCCATGCAATTCCTGGAAACTCTTCTTTGGACATGGGGTCCTGCCATTTTCATGTGTACTCACAGATATTTACACACAACTCTAACATACAGTGTAAATTTTAATGATTCCAAATATTTTAGTAAATTTATAAGAGATTTTGTTAAGTATAAATAATAGAAGAACCAACCCATATTAGTGCATATATCAAAATAAAAGATATATAATAGTATTTTATGGAATACTCCAAAATGGACTACCAATAGGAATAGTAAACATAATAATTTCAACTTATTCAAAAAATTGTATTGAATTTATTGAATAAATTCAATTTATTGAATAAATTCAATTTATTCAAAACTTCAAAGTGAATTTTTACTGTTTGCCATTGTTGTGGAATGATTTATTGCTTACATTATATAGTGTGCATAATAAAAAGAAGTGAGGAGGAAGGTTATTTAGGTTTTTTTAATATATTAGTCAATAGAAATAAAGTTAATTACTAATATATATAAAAATACACATGTACATACATATATTTTATGGGACTTCAAAACTTTGTGGTTAAATGGAATGATGGTATATACAAATTTTCCACACAATTTAAAGATGCCTTTAATACATTTTTAAATTTATTATCTGAAAATACAATTGTCACTGTTGGTTTCCTTCATGCTCTGTCCTACTCACGGTGATCCCATGTGTGCAGAGTGGCACTGCTCTAAGCGTTTTACAAGATTACAACCACTCAGAAGCTGTCTCTGGATGCAATGGCACAGGTTTACTGTAGAGTCTAAACATAGGATGAAAACATCGAAAATATTGTACAGTTTCCCTAAATGTAATACAGTATGATGTGATGAAAACAAGGAAACTACAGGAGTGGTCAAACCTTCTTTATGCAAACTCTTATAGAATATAAAAACAATTTATCAAAAGTACTTTATAAAGGATAAACTATACGTAAAGATCTACTTTGTCATTTTAATAAGAGGTCAACATCTATGTTCTGGGGGTGTGTGATGACATCAATTGACTTCAAAATGTGAGATTTGAAATGTGAGAATTTCCTGTTAAGACATTAAAAGCCATCTGCTTTTCACTGCTTGCCTCACTCTGAGCCCTCACAGGAGAGTCTGTGAAGAGCACATTCTTTTTGTTTTTTAACTATATTTATGTCCTTAGATTTTGTCTTTTATTACCCAACTATCTTGTTGAATTTCAGGATATTAATAAAATTTCCTGATTAACAAATCCAAGGCTTCAAAACTGACAGAAGGTATGTCCCTTTCCCTCTGGCTTCTAGTTTATCACGTTTAGTAAGAGATTACAAATGCTTTGCATGATGCAACTGAGGTACAAGTTATATACCATAAAATCACTACAGAATACATGAATTAGAGTAAAAATTAAACTTCAAATGCACAATATTTGGTGGGTTTTCTTACTTCATGTGGTGAATAAGTCATGTGTACCCACATTTTGGGGTTTGTTAATTAACATAATTTAAAGTAAAATCTATGTATCGTGAAAATGAATAATTGTTTCTTGAGTTTTAAAAATTGGATCAAGTAGTGTCTTTGTGTAATAATGCGTTATATTATTCTTTAAAATATGATAAAATGATACAAAGCTAAATACAATTTCTCATTTACTTATTTAGGTTAGGTACACAGTTTTATTTTAAGGATGTATTAGTTTACAGAAAATACTAATATAAAGTTAGTAATAAACATCAAGAGGCTAGTAAATTGATCAAAGCACGATACGTGTTCTCCCAACTGGATTAGATTACAATATTTACCTACCAGAAAGCAAAGGAATAACAAGAAACTTTTACAGAAATAAATTAGCTCAGCTCAGGGCTTATAATTTCCAGGCTGAGAGATAAGTAGTTACATGTATATTATAACTCTCATTTTAGATTATGAGATTATATTGTTAGCCATTAAATATCTTTTGCAAGGTCATACATTGTTAGCTTCAGAGTCAGAATTGAATTCTTGATCATGGTAATTCTAGAGTCAACAGAAAATCATTAAATTACATAACTGGATAATAACAATTACTTCTACGGCCAACGTCACAGACCGTGACTCTCTGGAACTTTGAAATTGACTTTGTTCTTCCATAAATGGCATGCACTTCTATATATCCATTTAGGATCATGCATGTTAGCAAACAAATCAATTGCAATATTATTGCATAAGAAATGAAATTTGCAAATAGTTTAAAATGGGGTTTCTGATGTTGTTGGGTTATGGATAAATTTATTTTATCATGTACTTTTTCTGAAGCATATTTCCATAAATACATAATGATGTCTCCGAAGCTTTCACCCATTAATTAGTAAGGGATAGATGATATAATAATACTTCATCTTCTTTTAATAAATAAACAAGTCAATAAATCAAGATAATTTGGTACAATTAATTACTATTTGTTCTAATTTTCAAATTCCCTTACAGCACTCAGTCTTTCTCCATTATTATATTACAAAATTATTGCATTACAAAATTTCCCTAAGTTTTCCTCCCAATACAGCATTTTAATTTTAAACTCAGGTATTATAACAGTTTAAAATATTTCTATGGAGTTGGACTAAGTAAGTACACTCTTATTTTTAAACATCTTTATTTTTCAGTAATTAATTGTTTCTATTATTCCAATCAATATCAATTAATCAAATGATGAAAATCATTTAAAAATAATTTATTCCACCAAGAAAGAAACATTTATGTACACCTCTTAATAACTTAGAACAAGAGCTTTAGATTCTGAGCTGCTAAGTGAGCAGCTTTGCCTCCCCACCTGCTTTGATCTGGTGATATATACAACGTTTGTTTCCTTCTGAGGCAGAGTGCACAGTAGAGCACAGACTTTGACACTGCTCAGCTACAGAGATGAATAATCAAACAATATTATACTCAGAACTGAATCTGACCAAGAGCTCAAAAAGGCAGCAAAAGAAACCTAAGGATGCTAATAGCTCCATGCCAATTGCTGAGCAGGAAATAACTTATGTGGAATTAAATCTTCAAGATACTTGCCAAGATCTTCCAAAGAATAAGAAGAATGCCCATTTCAAAGGTAAAATATTTAACCGTCTCATAAATGCATTAGGGCGTAGAGCTTTACTGCAAGCATGTTGGGAAAGAGTGAAGACTAGACATGGAGCAAGGCTATTCAAATTAAGGGAACAGGCTCAGTGGTTTTGTTTTTCAAGATCGAACCTGATGTATAGACATCACATTCTACTGTGAAATCTGAAGTTTAATTCTACAAGGCATTTTAAAACTTTGCTAAAAACTTTTCAGCTATCATTTTACTAATAACAAAATGGTTTATTCTGATATAAAATTATAATAAAGAATGTGGGTTCAATGTCCACTTTTTATGTCTATGATTCCCTGAGAAACTCAAGTCTCTCGTTCAAAACTTTCTAAACATTGGCACAATTGATTTCTTTATCATGTTTCCATTTCTCTTTCTGTATATTGCTCATCATCTCCAGAGAAGCTCACTGCTGGAATCTTGGGAATCATCTGCATTGTCTTGATGGCCAGTATACTAGCCCTGAAAACCAATAATCCTTGTAAGCTTCTGAAATATTATAACAGAATATTTCTTTTAAGTCTTTGAAGATGCCTCCATATGTTTCCTTATATTAGGGAACGGACCTCTCATTTAAAAGTATGCATTTGTGTTATATATTTGCCAGTCTCTAAAACTTATCAAATAAAGACTATCTCATCAGCATGAACTAAACATGGAAAAGCTATTCTAGAACTTCAAATAGTATAAGCAACAGAATGCTTGTAGAGAGTACTTGTTTTTAATTCTAAATGTTTGCATATATGTGTGTGCATGCACATATGTGTTTATGTTTGTCACGCTTCAAAAACTTTCATTGAGAGACTGAAAACATTTACTGAGAATTAAAAATTAACTTTTAAAAGTAGTTAAACGCTTTATGAGATGGTAGCATTTGTCTGTTAGTCTCTCCAAATGTCTGTCCAAATAAGTTTATCACTTCATCTATTTTTATGGTAAAATAATTTTCACTTACATTATTTTATATCAAATTATAGAATTATTATAATTAAAAAATAATCACCTCTATGGGAATTACTTTCATCTTCTTAGCTGTTGGAACACTAGAGGAGAACAGTACTCAGAAAGGTAAGAAATAATTTTTAAAATTCTGATAGATTAAGATGATCTGATGGATCACTTGTCTGTTAGGAGGCTAAATAAATGCTCCCATATAACTTTAGTACTTTACTCATTTTCATTCGTAAGATAATTTTTAATGTTCTCAAGGATTAAACTTTGTCTATATTTAGGCCATGAATAAATAATAAGAAATGTAATAGCTACCCAAAAGATAACAAGACATTTTCATAAATAGAAACATATGAGATCATTCTTTTCAAAATTTAGAAGACATTCTTTTAAAATTACTATATTCTTTTGCTTTGATTGAGATTTTGAACTGCTTCTATAAAGACTACGGCCTAGAGAGTCTTATGAGGGAGTTAAACTGTGTCACGTGGGTTGCTATGACTTGAAAACGGCTTTATAGCAACTGAAAAAAGTAGCAACAGCCTGATTTAAGACAACTTTTACTATTCTAATAAAGTAGAATTGCTCAGTGATTTTTCAGGGCATGTATAGATAGCATCAACTGATGATTCATTTTTTGATGCTTCTTAAATAAGGGGGGCAGGAGGCTGACATTCTGTGTATTGGATTTCTTTTCATACATAGCTTTGTGAGATTACATGTCCAGGCTATGTATCCATATGCATATGAAAATATATCTTTTGATGTTTTAATTCAAATTGTTTCATGATATAAATTCATAATCTTTTTCAGGACCTCTTTATGATGGTTGCAGACAGGATTGGATTTCCTATTCCAACAACTACTATTACATTAGTACTGAAAAGAATAACTGGACTCAGAGCAAGATCGCCTGTGCTTCTAAAAATTCTAAGCTAATTATTATAGAAAATGATGAAGAAATGGTAAGATTTCAAAGATTTTAAGTATTTTACTAAAAGATATGCAAAAAGAAATGTATGTACAATATATTTAAAGCATAATAAGTATTTATCTTGTTATAGACATGCTATAATATTACTGACTTGCTATCTTTCCTATATACATTAAAAATCAGATTTCCCCAATTTGCAAACTTAGATAAATAGCGAATGAACTATTTCGTGTCTTACTCGTTTCAGTTGTGGTTTTGTTTCTTGAATCCATCCATGTTTTTGTCCATGTTTGTGTCGCTGGGTAGGCTCTGACCCATGCAACACCATAGAACAAAAGGCAATTTTGTTTGATAATGTGCCATCTTTTTAAAAAAGTTTTTTTATTGTTATTTGAGTGAAAGTCTACAGAGAAATAATTTTTCTTTCAACAACTCATATACATTTTGTTTTGTAACATTATTGTAGTGTCCTGAACTGTCTTTGTGATCATCAGTGTGTTTCAATCCACTGTTGACGACTCATCTCATTAAATGTGCCTCTCATTCTCACTGACCTCTATTTCACCAAAACGTCTTTTCTCAGGACTGGTCTGTACTGATAACATGTCTGAAGGAATCACATCAAAGTCTCACCCTCCTTGCTTCTCAGAGTCTTCAAAGGTTGTCTAGAGTTGTCTTTATTTATTGTTAAAGCTACTAGTACTCGATTCTTTGAATTGACCATGCTTATTTATATTTTATACATTAATGCACACTGATTTATTTCCAATTCTTCCTTTTTATGAAAAATAATACTTTTACACATTTTTGAAAATAAACTTTATTTAATTTTACCATATAGAAATAAAGCTAAATTTATCAAAACTATTCAGATTGTGCAAAATAGAGAACAGGCCAATGTAGGTCAAATCAGTTCAAGAAACCGAAAATGCTAGCTTCCATCACCTCTGTCCCTGTTTCTCCTTCCTCTTTCTAAACCACTGTCCTTACTTTCATTATTAAAGATGGGCTTTGTTTGATTGGACACTTTATATACATGCAAATATTCAGTATGCACACTTTAATTGATTTTTGGCTGTACTATGAAAGTAGCTCATCCCCCAAAAGAAGAGACACACATGAAAGGCAAACATGAGGTTTTCTGCTCCTTTAGAGATTTTTATCTCTTGGACTCCCTACATAAGGTTGCTGTGAGTCAAAGTTGGTTCAAGTGCAGTCAGTGGGGACCTCTCAGAAGCAGGTTGCCAGGAGTGGCTTTCAAGGAGCCACTGAGTGGAGTTGAGCCACCAACCTTTTAGTGAGTTGTCACTTGCTTAACCAAATGCATCACCAGACATGCCATTGCTATGTGAATAAGCATTCTAAAATTCATCTATGCTGGTTAGAAATTTTAGACTTATGAAAATATTTACCACTGTTTAACTATTGTAATGAATATTGTCATGATTCTGGAGCCCTGGTGGCTTAGTGGTTCTGCATTGGGCTGTGATTCTCAAGGTCAGCAGTTCAGACCACCAGCTGCTCTGTGGGAGAAGATGGTCTTTTACACCAGTAACAATTACCATCTCAGAACCTCAAACAGGGCAGACGCACCCACCGGGTCCTGTAGGGAAGCTGTGAGTCTGTATCGACTCGAGGGCCGTGAGTTGGGTTTGGATGTTTCTCTAAGATCTTTCTGAAAGTCTTTGGTCCACATCTTACCTATGTGCGTGGGGAAAGAGTAGGAGGGCATAGCGGATGTGTTCACCGATGTTTTAAAGTTATCCCCAAAGCATACTAATTCATAGGATACATAACCATTTATCTAAGTTTTGATCCTATTCCTTGATCCAGTCCTCCTCAAAACTTACAAATATAATAACTTTAATATTAGAAGTTATGATGAATATATAATAGTATCATTACTAGATTAATATAAAATGTTCTTATTCCTTTTAGATGGAACACTTAAAATGCACTTAACAAGAGTTTAATAATGACAATAAGGAAAATGTATGTTAAGTATTTCAGTGCTATTACCCACTATCCTATCCAGGTTCATGAAGTGCCTCTTCCTGTCTCTTGACTATGTTACCTCTGGGATTGTCACTCTTTTTCCTCCAATAGATTTTTAATACATTTTGAATATGAAATCTTTCTTGTGTTTGTAAGTTTCAAGCACACTTAATTTTCTCAGTGTCTCCTATTTTTATGGTCACATTGGGTCCTTTAGTGAATAGAATAAATCCATGTTAGCACCTTATCATTTATACTGATGGTGCCTTTATGGGAGAACCATTTCTCGGAAAACATCTAGAGACGTTCTATTGCTGTTGTTAGATACCACTAATTAATGCCAATATTAATTTCTAATTTTAGTCATTAGTTTTTGTTTTAAAAGCATTGGGCTTTGTACCATTTACCTTTTTATATGTTTAATCTACTGGAATTTAATTTTTGAGATGCTGATTGACCTACATGCTTTTTTACCTTATCTAACTGAGCGTAATTTATACTAGAAGGAGGCTTGGTGTCACAGTGGCTTAAGTGCTGGGCTTCTAATGGCAAGTTCAGTAGTTCCCCCAATCCACTCTGTGGCACCTTTGTTATAGTACAAGGATACTGTGTGTCTAGTAGTATGTTTCTGTTTACTATTATACTTAATTTTAAAATTTTTTATTTCTCCAGTCCAAAGCTATCATTCTTTAAGTTTATTTGCATAATTTCCCACACCTATTTATACACACATTTAAATAAATACATACTGTCACTTAATACTTATGTTATATTTAATCCATAGATTAATTGTTGGAGATTGACATCTTAATAATGTAATACCTTAACATGAGTTTGAGGACACTGGTGGGGTAGCAGTTACACACTGGGCTGTGATCTGTTCAGTTCAAATCACCATGTGCTACACAGGAGGAAGACAGGCTCTCTGCTCTGTAAATAGTTAAAGTCTCTGAAACTCACCGGGGCAGTTCTACCTTGTCCTATCCATCGCTATGAGTTGTCATCGACTCTATGGCAGGGAGATGTTTTTTGGTTAACATGAGTTTATCTTCTCAATACTTTAACTGTTTTGAATAGAAGTTGAATTTTTTTTGTTTCCAGTTATCTTTTATATTTCTTTTCTTGAGATTCTCATATATGACTATACAAATACAATGGACTCAATGAAAATATTCATTTCTTCAACATTTAGCATGTTATTTTTTGTTTCTGCTTTGCGGATTTTTGTTTTATTCCTAGTCAATTGTAATTTTACTGAAGACCTGTAATCATACTGAAGACTGTAGTCTTGGCCATCAGTTAAGTACCTTTACTCCTCTTTACATTAGGCTAGCAAGGTATGTCATCTGGGTGCCACAGGTTTTTAGAGTCTCTAATCCTCATGCTGAAATTTTTTCACTAAACGAGCTTCTATTTTTCATCATGAAGATTGAGTATAAAGATACTCCAATTCTGCCACAACACTTTTCCAAATTTGAACCCCACTAGTTTTTATTGTGGATCCAATTAAAATAAAATCCTTGACAACTTCCATCTTTTCTCCATTTAGCATGATGTTGTTTACTAATCCAGTGGTGAGGATTTTGTTTTCTTTAAGTTGAGGTGTAAGGCATACTGAAGGTTGAAGTGTTTGATCTTCACCAAGTGTTTCACGTATTTATTTGCATATCACAGGTTATTTGCATATTACAGATTGTTAATGTACCTTCTTCCAATTCAGATACTGCATTCCTCTTTATATAATCCAGCTTCTGGAATTATTTGCTTAGCATGGAGACTGAAAACATATGGGAACAGGATACAACCCCGGCACTCTCCTTTATTGATTTTATACTGTTCCATGTCCCCTTGTTCTGGTTCAATGATGGTCTCTTGGTTTATGAATTGATCCACATGAGTACCCTTAAATGGTCTGGAATTTCCACTTTTTATAATGTCATCAAAAATTTGTTATGATTAGTAAAGTCAAATGCCTGTGTATAATCAATAATATGAGTTATTTCTGCTCTCAGAAATACAGAAAAAAACCTTTGAGGTATTTCTAAATATCTTCTTTTAATCAATATCCATCTAACATCAGTTACGTGAGCCCTTGTTCCAACTTCCTTTTTGAAAATGACTTACATTTGTACAGTTTCCTGTCCACATAATAGCACATTCAATTTTTAATTCCATTAAACAAAATATTATTTGAATATAATATCAATGATATTGTTCAAAACCGATGCCTTCTGTTGGCTCACTTTTGTTTGTAATGGGCCCAATGTTGATCTTGTTCAATTAGTCAGATAACTCTTCCAAATGTCTTGACATTGAGGAGATGAGCGTCGTTAGCACTGCATTTGTTGAAACACTTCGGTTGTCATTCTGTCAATTCCTGAAGTCTTATTTTCTTACTGTCTTAAGAGCAGTTTGGATTTCTTTCTTTGGCACTGCCGGTTCCTTGCTAGATGCTCTCTTCTGAAATGTGTGAATGATGAACAATTATTTTGGGTACAGTGATTCCGTGTGTTCTTTCCAGGGTCCTTTGATGCTTCCTGCTTTATTTACTTCTCCATTTACTTTAATATTTCAGCTTGATTTATGTGTTTCTTTAGTGATTCCATCTGGAGAGTTGTTAAGTCTTCCTTTGAGTTGCCAAGGGTTGTTCCCTTTCGTTTTATAGTCCAAAATCTTTACATAGTTTAGCTTAATATTTTGTCATCTCAAACCACTGTTTGAGTTCCATATTTGTTTTCACTTAGTCAGTCTTAATTGAAAGTGCAGCTGAAATTTGTCTACCACGATGACTCTGTTGGTATTTGAAATGCCATTGGCAGAGTTTAAAGCATCATAGCAATACCCACACCCCCACACCATTTCACAGCAACGGACAATGGAGTAGTGGATCCAGCTGCTGCTCAGTCATTAAAAATAACTAATCTCTTGAAACACAGTAAATCCTGGAGGAATCCACAAATAATTATGTTAATGAAGAATTTTTAAAAGGATAAGCATTTCGTTTACTAAATAATTCTGGAAAATGCAACTAAACAATGATGATAGAAAGTGGTTGAGTATAAAGGACAATTGGACAAAGATTGGAATAAAGTGAGTTTTGAAAGTAACAGTTACTTTCATTATCCAAAAAGATAGTTTAAAAGATATCTAAACATACCAAAAAATGATGAAATCATATGATACACTTAAGTACAGTTTATTTTATGTTAAGTATACCTCAAAATTTGGCTCTAAGGGGAATAAGTAAATTTCCTTATTCTGATAGAATTATTTTCAAAAATACCAACAGCATATAAGTCCAAAGATAAAATCAGTACAGTTTTAAGCTCACAAAGGTAAAGAAGATACTATGGTGTATGTCCTATCTACTCAATTTTGAAATGGACAGTTTTCCAAGTTGAAAAAAGAGGAAATAATTTAGATTATATTATAATAGAACAAATAAAATCGCCACATTTATAGATGACTAAATTTTATGTGTATAAAATCAATTGTCATGAAAACAGCCGTCAATAAGTCACATGACACATTGCATTGGACAAATTCACTCCAAAACCCCCTTTAAGTTTTAAAAAGGGAGGATATCATTCTGATGACTAATGATGTAGGGATATGGTCTTTTCAATCGTTTTTTATCCATACAAAAGTGAGATGTAATGAATTGACATGGCCCCATTAGTCATTAGTCCTTACGAGATGTATCATAATTCTGGAATCTATGCTGGTGACTATGAGCCCAAATTGAAGGCTGGTACAGGATGAAGATGGGGTTACATTCTGCTTTTTTTAGAAGCTGTGAAACAAGTAATTCCCTGTTTCCTTAAGAGCATCTTTAAGACTTCTTTATTAGAGGCACTACTTTACTAAAGACTACTTCTTTCTGTTTCTTTTGCTTTTAATGGGCACTTTACCACATATTATGCAATTCAATAGTTCAACCTAAGAAAAGTGCTACAATCTTTACCAAAATTATTTTTATTACATTTAGAACATTTTCTTTTTCCCATACTCATTATTATTCACTTATTTTTTCAATTTTGCCAAAAATATACACAATGAAACATTCACCAATTCATTAACTTCTACATATGTAATAGAGTGCCTTTGCGTACACTCTGTGTTGTGCAACCATTATTATTCTCCTGGTCTTAATTGTTTCACCTCCATTAAAATGAACTCAATGGCCACTAAGCACGTTTCTCATTTGTCGTCGGTAACAGTAGGTCAAGTTTTGTTTGTTTGTTATTTTGTTTTTAATTTTCTTAATAGAGTATTCACACATCATACACTCCTATATTTAAACCGCTTTAAAAAATGTATATGCATCATCAAATCAGCTCTAATGTGTCCTCCCTCCCACCAACATCTACTGATTGCTCCCCACTTCCTCTTCACCCCTTTCTCTCTTTTTTCCAATAAACCATTGCTTCAGTTATTGTCTCAACATATCCACTATTTCTGTGCTTCCTAAACTGGGAGACCTAACAGAAACAATAATATACAAAAACAAAATGACACAGAAAGAAGAGAAAAAGAATGTTAAGATAAAGATAAATATAAGGAAAAAAGAAAGTAAGAAATAATAAACCACCAACCAAATTTAAAAGCCAGATAACAAATTCCTTTCTTGGAACAATCAAGAAATATTTGAGCCTAGAGCAAATTTACGGTGGTTCAAGAAAGAGGTCCACTGAACAAGCATCATATTATATCTTGATTCGATTCACCATAATGAAGTTTACAATTATCCCTATCTGATAGTACATTAAGACACCACCCTTCATATTCTGTGGGAGTACAGTTCACTAAAAGACAAAAGCAAGCCTCTATAAAAGCCATTTGTCACTGTGTAGCAGCCAGCTGGGAGCAGGGCCAAGACTATAAGACACCTTCCATCATCTGTCCTGAAAGCGTGGGACTGTGAGGCAGAGCAACAGCGAGGCTGACTTCCTGGCGCACAGAGGTTG